AGTTCACGTTCCCCGATATCGTAATTGTCTTAAATGTTAACTGTCTTAATTGCTGAAACTAGTCTATAAAAACAATTTTTTGGTTGCATGCGTTAAACCATTTACGTTTATCTTTGTTAAATCTATTTCATTTTTTTATTTCCACACGAAATTGAAAAGATAATTTGTCGCTGATTTTTTTTAATCCATTCAATGGGTCGGCAACTCGCATCGCGTGCTGCGGTAAGTGTACTGTTTGGTAAACAGCTAAAGTTACACTTCCGTCTTAAAGTTGACCACGTGGCAGCTTGTTGCAATACAATACCCCCCAAAAAAACGCTCGCAAACAATTTAAAGAATGATTAATCTACGTTTATAAAAAAGGATTGTTTACGAGGTATATGCTGATAAGGATTTAAATGCATTGACTATTCAAATTTCTGGGTACCGAAAGAGTTCTGCATCTTGGGTTTTTATCCTGCAACTAGCACTGTCATTGTCAGATTACACCTGCCAGATATATTTTAGTTGTATTCGACAGTGATTGAAAACATTATTTATTAAAGATATTTTTATCACGCGCGGTAATTCACCACAATTACCCTCTGAATTTACATAAATATTACGTTTAGAAATATGAATAGTTGTTTGAAAAAAGCGGTTTGACGATTTTGTAATGAACGTATTTGAATTATAAATTCAGCGTAACGTTAACATTAGGTAAACGCATTGAACAACAAAATTGTTTAGGTTTGAGTTGTCTGCTTTTCATTGAATGTTGGAGGATAAATAGAATACATGACTCAGTATCTTAAAATAGAAGCTCGCCACTTTTGTCTTTACTTACAAATTTCATTTACAATGTGAGTAACTGTTGTAACAAACAAATTGGTGTGCGATGTTCAAAAAAATTGTTTAATATCCATTGAAGTGTGGAACTATATTTCCGGGTGGAGTAATTATTTATTTGGCGTGCGTTATCAGGCTCAAGTTCAAGGACAGAAAGACAAAAGTGGCTTTTTCGCCAAAATACAGCTTTTCTTTTAGTACACTGACCAAGTAAATGTAAACTATGTTACTTAAATTTCAGAAAGTCAAGCTATATTTATATACTTAAATAAAAGACAGATTGTCGAGGTTCGTATTGGTGGCAGCTGTCAAGTTTCAGTGACATATAGTAGACGATAAATCAAATGATTCAGTAGAATGTCTGCTCATGAACGTTTAAATATTGACCAAAATCTGTTATGGTTCGTTGATTCTCTGTGATGTACAAGCATGTGATTGTCATATCTCTAAGAACGGTGTAAGTAACTCGAGTGACCACCATTGGCTAGGACCACAGCATTACAACGCTGGTGCATAGAGCCTGTATATATCGTCAAACATGTTATCTGGGATGGTGTTCCAGTCTTCTGTAATTTTGGAGGGTGGATTTGGCCGATGCCCTACTGATATGTGATCTTTTTGGTTCAGATCGCGGGCTTTTGCAGACCAATCCAAAACTTTGGCATCGTTCTGCTCAGGAATGTCCTAGTCACGTGACTGGAGTAGGGCAATGCATTATGCTGCAAAATGGACCGTCTCCTTGACGCTGTAAAACCGGAACGGTGACGGGTGCTAAACTTTCGTTAAAATACCGAATTTCGTTTAAATTGCAATTGACAATGACTCATCTTGTTAGATTTCCACCGGATATGCCGTCCAAGATCATCACACTACCGCCATCAAATCTGTCACGTGGGGTTAAACAGCAGTCTGCGTTCCTTCCGACGTTGCCATCCTCGCTGCCTCCTATAATTGTCCATCAAACGAACTATCGACTCATTAGTGAACCAAACATTGTTTCACAGCTGTAAGAGATATCGTCAGTGTCGCGAAGTTCAATCAAGGCGGTGGTGTCGCCCGAGTACGGGGCCTGTATAATACCACCTCGCACACCTTCGGTGATGTTTCAACCTGTTACAGATGGCCTGGCTTCTTACCCGTCGCCCAAGCAAAGTCCTTGCTGTTGTGGTTGCAGGAAGAAACCGATCCCGAAGATGCTGCAGCAGGGTTGGACGGTCTTTATGAGGGTGGCAGCTCGTGATCGGCCGCTTCTTTTCCATAAAAGTTCATATTGAAACCGTTGCATTAAAACGTTGCCATAAATTGCATTCCATTTTTTGGCTACACCCAAACCATCTTTCAACTTCGCGTTTCGTTGCGCCGACTTCGAACATGCCGATAGTCCTTTCATTCTTTTCTTTAGGCAGACGTGGCATCTCGACATCTATATAGTTTAAAATCAAATTATGGTTTTTCAAATGAGAAATGTTTCGATATAGTGGATAAAGAGTTTTATGAAATTCAACCGAACAAATTTCGTGTAAAGTGAAGGAATTTGTTCTGTTTTTATGAGACATTTTTGTATTTTCACATCTGACTGATTTCTCTAAATTTCACTTATTTAACGTTTTTTATGTAAGTGTACGTTTCTCCACTTGTTTCGAGATCATTTCCCTAATGAGTACACATGTGGCAAGGGAGGTAATTATGTCACTGATTTCTCTAAATTTCACTTATTTTACGGGTCTTTTTATGTAAGCGTACGTTTCTCCACTCGTTTCGAGATCATTTCCCAATGAGTACACATGTGGTAAGGGAGGTAATTATGTTAAGTCTCTTTAATAGACCGGCTTACCTGCCTTAGTTGCGGAGAGTAGTAAAATTACGGCAGGCTACCAATCGAGTCTCTTTGAATTCCCACACAAGTCTATACTGAGCTACGCTCTTATAAATACTAGTTTCCTTTTTACTTTTAATAATAACTTTTTTTCAGAGATTAACATGTTTAGTGTAAGTGTGCTAATATTCCACATGGTTAATCATAAACACATACACAAACAATCAAGTACTTATATGTAGAACTTTGGCAATTTAGTATCAAATATAATACAACACATAGAGATATCAATATCAAGCATTCGATCTGCACGCAATTAGTCTCATTTTTTTTTTTTTTTTTTTATTAAAATCATTTATACACACACATACACACACCTGTCCCTATGTTAGGATTATAATGGATGCCTCATCGATATACGATTAATAGGACACCCTGATGTTACCTTCAAAACTGTAAATAAATGTCGACAACAAGACATGCTGATAAGATGATCAAAATATAATATACCTATAACAGTTGTAACAGTTAAGAATGCCTAAAAACTAATTACAAAAAGGGGTATGGCGTGTAACGGCCCGACTCGACCTAAATGTGACCAACAATAAAATGGGAAAACAAATTTTCCACTTCGGCGAATTGGGATAAGTAATCTCACTGAGCTATTTTGAAATACCCGTTATCAGAAAAAAAATATCTTTGATGTGTGTCGTGTGTTATTTTTTACTGCTCGTCAAAATATTTGTGTTTCCCAGGCTTCAAATGCAATTTTTACACACAGCGCACACATATATCAACTTTTAGGCAACTGAAGCTAATCCAGTATGATCAGATGTAACTTAAATATTATATATGTTCTGTATTTAGACACGGTGACTCCGAATCATGTATTTTTAGGTCGATAATGGAGCTGAACTGAAACAGGTGCTACGTCATGATAAAACGCCATACTGCTTACTATTACCAAGTATTTTTTAAATCCAAAATCAGAAATCTCTTCAATCATCATTACCAGGGATCTCTTAAATCACAATTACCAGGCATCTCTTAAATCATCATTACCGGGAATCTCTTAAATCATCATCACTAGGTTTCTCTTAAGTCACTATTACCAGGAATCTCTTAAATCCCCATTACCAGGCATCTCTTAAATCATCATTACCGGGAATCTCTTAAATCCCCATTACCAGGCATCTCTTAAATCATCATTACCGGGAATCTCTTAAATCCCCATTACCAGGCATCTCTTAAATCACCATTACCGGGAATCTCTTAAATCATCATTACCAGGCATCTCTTAAATCATCATTACCGGGAATCTCTTAAATCCCCATTACCAGGCATCTCTTAAATCATCATTACCGGGAATCTCTTAAATCATCATTACCAGGCATCTCTTAAATCATCATTACCGGGAATCTCTTACATCATCATCACTAGGTTTCTCTTAAGTCACTATTTCCAGGAATCTCTTAAATCACCATAACCGGGAATCTCTCAAGTCGCCATGACCAGGCATCTCTTAAATCACCACAACAAGGAATCTCTTAAATCACCATTACCAGGGATCTCTTAAACATAGTTTTTAGACATTCCTATTTCCTTGTTGTCAATAGTACAAGGAATAGTAGTAAAACTCTTCGAAGTATTAGCTATAATTTGATGAATCCTCACACGATGCATACATTTTCTTTATCCTCATGCCTATGCATGATTTGTTAGTATTACACATATGTGATATGGGTCGTTCGAAATCACGACAAGGTTAATAAATTTCACGAATTATTTACAAGACAGTATTAAAAGAACACCTTTAAGAACTTAGCTTCGTTAAACTATTTGTCCGTTCAACAAGTTCTTCAACTGAAATAGTTTTCAAAATCAGGTGACCACACAACAAACAAAACAATAATACATTGGCCGGCTGACTGATCATGCCAATCCGAAACACTTGTAATCCGAACGATATTTGTCGGGAACGGAAGTGACCGGATTGGCGAGAATCCAATATATCTTGTCTTTAGTTTCAATACACCGTTTAATAAAATGACAATGTATCAGCTGATATCTCGACTACTTTGATTTGTAGTACTTTGTTGTTTTCTTGACCGGACAAAGAATGAAAACACATTTCCAGAGCAGACTATTTCTATTAAGATAAGCTTCATAAACGAGTTATTTCTTACAGAATCAAGTCGATGCCTAAGATGGTTACCTTTCTAGCAAAATTTTCCTACAATAATTTCCAAGACCGTACATTGTTTCTACATTTATTTACTTCTCATATAATATATAATGAGATATGCGAAATATATTGGTTAGACACACACCTAGAAGTGTATTTACTGATACATACCTTTCGCATGCATCTTCTGCTTTTTCCCACGGAAAAGTGGCAAACACCTTCTTATAACAATAGGAATCCTTGATTTCATAACCTGAAATTTCAACAGAAATAAATGTATATAAATTTATGCTACAACTATAGTATACCAATTTGTAACGTTTGCAAACAAGAGATGTTATAAAGATATGGAAATTTCGTATTCTAAAACTGCTATTTGTGCGGATTTTCAAATAATATATATACCCCTGATATAATTAAGACCTTCTGCAGCTGGTTAGTCTTGTTCATCGCCTGAGTAGGTAATGATAAAGGACAAGCTGACTACCGACATATTGGATTCCATAAAGACCAGAAAATCACATTCTATTCTACTTTGCATGGTGACTCACATATATATTTGTTCGGTATATCGGGTCGCAATTTTCTTTAAAAACTCGCCATAGATGACATTTAATCTAACCTTTTGTTGTTTATACTATTGTTTTGATAAGGAATATTACAACCTTTCTGGGAGATTGATAGAAATAATGAGGAAGTTTTACGATTGTCATAGTGATCTCATTAGAAAAATAACTAATTTCTTTATAAGATATGAAAGAAGACGTGTTTGATGATCATTAGGTTGCATCTTATTTCCGTTGTTGTGTACCTTGTTCCCATTACTGGATTGACCAAGGCGGGTGTCGTCGATGTAGCAGAAGACGCTTACTCTTCCGGAACACATGGTCTTCTTAATCCCCAACCCCCCTTTTTGTTGTGATTATGTTAACATTTCGGTATTTTCTTTTTTTTTCTTTATATGTTATATTTTTTCTTGGTTGAGTGATTGGCATTAATAAAAAGAACAAATACACACCTGTTGGACATTCCAGATTTAAGTCTGCTTCAACGAAAGACGTGGCAACCAGCACCTACAAGTAAAGATAGCTTAATTAAAAGAATAATTGTTTAAGAAAACTGTTTTTTTTCTGATTAATTTAATATAAAAGCTAATATAGGAAAGATCAGACATGGGTAACGTACATCTATAACCTGATATAAAACCCAAAATTAATCAATATCGAAATTAAAGAAATAAATTTAAAAACTGAAATACAAATACACTCGTTTTTGTTTCTCATTCAACCATGCCGCCTTTCTCTACAGGTATATACGAAGGGTTTAATGTTATTCATTTAAACCTTTAAGTACCAAGATACACTTAGCCCATAATTTAGCATTTTTTTCAAGCTAAATTAGCTGACTTAAATGTTTGTTTTCAGTTCAGAATTTTCACATTTGACGTTATACCATTTATGAATGCAAATTGGACAAATAAGCTATCAGTTCTATCGGGGTTTCCATATCTCTGGTGAGTATCATGATCTTTACCCTCCTGTTTATAGTCTACCAGGAGACTGGGCGTGGTGCTTCGCCATTTAGTTGTAGTTACAAAGTACGGCTGCTATTTATTGCTCTCCACCTCGCAGTAGTCTCATTTGTATAAGATATCTAGAATCTGTACTGACATTCATTTTCTTCATTAATTTTTTCAATTAAACAATAAACAACAAAACCGAGTTCATATCTATAAATCGAGTTCATTTTGTGTTTGTTAACAGCCAGTAACATCTTGCGGGTATCCTTGTCTTGCTAACAGCAAGTGAACAACATAAGGGAGAACATACTTTTATCTTCACCTGAGTATGCAGAGTCAATTAATTTTTTAGTCTAGCTTTCTAAACTGCTGTGCATGTCAAGATGTCTCATTTATCATGTACGGAATGCAATATAGTCCTTTTGTGGTGATATATAAATGAAAAGCAATAGCTACGTATTACAGGAGGATAATTTAATCTGGTTTCACAGTCAATATACATTATATCTTAAAAATGCTGATAATCTATATTCCAATACTAATCCTCCTTGTTAGCAGTTATGTAATGGTCTCATTGTCATCACAAGTATATAGATGCGTGCGTTCCCTACTTAAATGGGCTTACAATACTTGTCAATATCAAACTTGTCATTTGGGAATTTAAGACGTATTTTTCTCTTTAGTGGTATTTTAGGAAATGACGTTAGAGACTTTCACTCGATTAAACAAACATTATGCGACACCGTTTAAACTACAAATGATACTTAATCGACAAGTCAGTGAGAATGCTCATCCAAGTAGCATCGCCCACCAGAATCAGCACAGAATGATACTGATCCCTGCCGGTGTATTGAACCTGAACTAGGATTCGGGCAGAATTCAGATAATAGAGACAAGGTATAGATATAATCTTACTAGGCAACATTTGAAGTCTTTCACGGTCATAAAATAAACGGTAACATCTGTACAGACAGCTACAGACAACCCTGTTAACTACAGAAACACTGAAACGATTATAAAACATTTCAACAAGAACTGTTGAATAAGGATAACGATATATAGATGATGTACAACGATAAGTAGAACCAGATAATTAAACTTCAGCGTTCATCTGCTTCGTTCTTCTTTAACTTGGCATAGATGCAAAGGACATTTATTGTTGAAACTTGTGAGGTATCGAGGAAAATAATAACAGCAGGGTAAAGAAATGTCATAGCAGAGAAACATTGTGGAACCCAAACAAATTCTAGATTAGATATTCCGGAACAGAAAACCTAAGCGTTTTAGAACACGTTATAGAGAAACGTCGTATGATATCCCTAACAAAACTTAGGCGGTCTAGAACACGGTATAAAGGACAATCGTAAGACCCTCCATAAAACTCGGGCGTTCTCGGACATTATATATACGAACGTTGTTATACTCCGAAAAAAACTAGTTCTGGACAACGAAATGATGTCCGTCTCTTGTCGCAATGCTCATCAGAGCGTATCAGACATTGTGATCGAAAGATCAATCAGACGTCCCTCCTCTGAAAATCCAGGGAAAATAGCAGGTGATAGATAGGAGGACCTGAAACAGACGTACTTTCCCATATTTCAGCATAAAGAAGCTTCTACTGTTAGGAGACTGTTTATTAACACATTTCCCAGCATTACCTGGTGACGGAGACTACACCCATTGTGCGCTGAACTTTGTCCTCAACAGGGGCGTTTACTTTTTATATCTTTTCCGATGTGTATGTTTAGATTGTCGTAGTTTTGTACTCTTTTATTTCCGTCGTAAAATAGTTAGTGCCCTATCGCATTAAGATTACAGTTTGTTTGGTAAGGGCATGTATTCAATATAGTGAGTAGTTTATTTCTATGTTTCACTAAGCTGATCTGATTTATATTTTCCTATTATCTATAAGCCAACAATAACACGCTATTTGTTGTAAAACCATCTTTAACAACGTGTATTGTATTTTCTTGAATGCGAGAAATATTCTTCTTATATTACAAATTATTTTATATAACACTTTTCATGCTCAAACGAGAATTGGACAAGTATACGATTCATTTTCTGTGGAAATAGTATGTGTTGCTTTTTCGTTAGTGCGTTTATAGATTAAGTATGGTATTATGATCGTATACTTGTCCATTTGTAGACCATTTTGTAATGTGTTATACAACACAAGTGGAATTGCACTTGTTATATACAAGTGCAATTCCACACTGGAGAAGCCAAACAAGGAAGAAGGTTTTTGCTTTTAGTGTTGTGATTTAGTTTTTTTTTTATTAAGATCTCTATTCATAAACATTTTAGCACTTCTATAGTAAGCGAGTCGATCGATAGCTTCAACGTGATAATCCGAAGCTCTACCGACTATATTTAGTCTCTGTCAATATAAAAGTCTTCCGGGTAATATACAACATTACTGACTAATCTCGGTCAAGAAATGGCTCGGATTACATAACATTACATTTGAACAGTATTTATATACATGTACAACAGTTTAAACGAGTAGCCATTCTTATGTTATACCACACATTATGAAGTCTTGTGCAAATGGTGAAGTATATGATCATAATTACTTGCACAAATAATATTAAGATAAGTCCTTGCGAATGGAAATGGATTGACGGATACAAAACACAACAACATTGAAATACACGGAGAGAAATATGCTAAACAAAATATTATGTAGTATTTTTCCAATATTGGTCAGGTTTTAAAGAACATGAAAATATCTAATCCGATGATATCATTTAAAAGAAGTCCACCAGGATCCGGAACTGTACAAAGGTCTTTTAACTTTCCCTCATTACTTAGATATGACTAGAAAGAATGGACAGAATAAGACTATATTATATACCATTGGATGACCCTTGTAAGAGAAGTTTGGAATCATAAGCATTAATTCGACATCTACATATATTAAAATGTTACTTAAGAAAAATAGGTGTTGTTTAAATATAGCTATGCTGTCTAATTCAGCACATTTTGATTAAAGGTTGAAATACTTAAACAACGTACTCTTGTAAAATTAGCAATTCAAATTAAAGCAAGTTAAGTAAACAAAACGCTCTTCTAAACATCATCAGAATATATAGCACGCATTATATTATGTGTATACATTGTACTTCATGGTTAATTTTTAAAATAAGCTGAAGTCTGTGAACTGAAACTAAAGTAATTTTGTATCTTTCACCCGTAACCATTATTTTCCTTTCCGAATGTAATAGCTTTCTAATACTGCTCTTGATGAAAGTGAGTTGTTTTTTTCAAGTCGAGACTTTATTTTATTTAAGCTTCAGTGCAATGTTTCTAAAGAGAAAAGTTAATTACATATAATAAGTCACAACCAGTATCACGAAATTGAAAAGTGAATCATTCTATGGGCGTTTTCCGTCCTAGCCACGATAAGTATTATCTACAGTTTACACCTTAATGTTCAACCTATACTGTCAACACAGAGAATAATAGCGACACATCTACATAAAAGCGCTTGTGTAAACGTTAGGTTTCGGTTGATTGAACATGCTTCCATTAACTATGTCACGCTTGCTAATAAGAAAATAAGGTCGTTTTAAAACAGTTTCAGTGGGGCTTTTTTCCATTCAGCATCCATGACTATCATGAATTCCAAGACGATGTTGATAGAGCTCGCTACAAGGTTGAAACGACACAGTTCATCCTCACAACACCGATGTCAATTACAGGTATTGCTGTACACATGAGTATCAAGCCTGTTACCAGATCGATTCGTATCGACTTAAAGTGAAAAAGTATAAACACTGGGTGATGTTTAGGCCATTGTCACAAGGAAAATGTGTAAACCATGTTTTTTTACGATTTTCTAAAGGTTATATCCATACTTTGAATTACATAGATGTTTTGGGAGTCCAAGACATACCCATATAAGTAGAAACCAAAATGTTACATAAGCGAAGTATAACAGATATATGAATTTATTATATCTTTTCCCATAAATATCAAACAAGAAAAAAAGTAATCATAAAAAACACTATTCAGATAACACTTTTGCAGGTTTTACTAATAAATTTAATCAAAACACGTGACACTGGCCACACCCATGTGGGAACTTCATGTATATTGGTGCAACTAAATATGGTTAATTGATTAACTCTAAATTAGAATATGTCATTAACTTACCTGATATACCACCAGAATTGCAAACCATGCCATTGTGTCCGTCATCAATGAAATGGTCTATATATGTCCGCAGCTGTGATTCCAACCAGGAAGACTCCTGCCATCCACCACACTCTGTGGCAAGGTGTACGGGTGACTGCTTACGAGACTATAGTATTTAAATTGGTGTCGATGACAAACATACCGTCCGGTGTCGAGGGAAATTGTGACTAGTCCTGACAGCATCACGGTTGACTGCTTAGCTGGAAGCGGGTAGCGAAGACAATTGCACAACTTCAATACGGGACAACGCGAGAGGAATCCAAGCAAAAAGCGCTGCGCGTATTGCGTACCTTAAAATGGACTATTTTGCTCGTTTCTCCCAACACTTGCTCTACAATATAAAGGTGTTATTGTATGTTTATTGGTATCATTGAATTATATGCATACCAAAACAATAGAAAAATCGCCCAGCACTTCAAGGGAAAGAAAAGTGTTAATTAATTCGAACATTGGCACAGTTCGGAAATACGCATGAATGTACTAGACGTTTTTCAGAAATTATCATAATTATGAACTACGAAATTCATTGATTATTTATTTCGATCAATTTGGAATTAAACTTGCCTCCTAGGCTTCAAAATTTAGCCCCTAAGCATCACTGATGAGTCCTAAAAAACGAAACAGATGTATGACGGAATTTAATCCAGTATTTATTTCTACTGTATCTAACTGTTTGCCTGTATTAAAACGAATTTTTCAATTGTGTGTGTTGTGATTTTTTTTGCCACGTTTCTCTTAGTCAATGGCCGTCATTATTATTAAATCGTGGGGAGTGTTACTAATTTATAGAGGATATTTAATTGTTTCAAGTTCAATACTAGTGAGCAGAGATGACATTAGTTTTTTTTATGAAATTGATAAACTCTTATCTTTCATCAGCAAATGTGTAATAAAAAGATATCGTCGACTAATACAGTTATCATTGCTCAACAGATTATAACATTATCAATTTTTTGCGAAAAAAAATTATATGGCCAATAATTGTGTTGTATTATATTGCCAGATTTGTTTTCCTCCTGTCAATCAGTTATAATTTACGTCCTAATATATCGTCTACTAGGACAATAAGCTTCCTGCATACCCTCCACAAGTATATTCCACTTATACGCCTACTGCTCAAACTCGTGGAACTCATATGCTCTACCCTTCATTGGTATATTTCCATTATTGTTCCTACTGATTAAACACCATAGTTAATTGAACTACGAGGAAGAGAGAACTATTTCATCAGCTCCATGATTATATTTCAATATTTTCTCTTGCTGTTCAAACTGGCGTTTTTTCCACTCTATCGTACGGTTTATGAACGAAAATTAACAAATGAAAACAAAAACAAAATGAACAATGCGCCCTCTTACAGGGTTTAAGATTAAGCTTCTTTTCCATTCTTTTTATAATAATTTCCAAATTCACCGTGGATGTGAGCAACCGATTTGTAGGTGAAAAGAATACCCTGCTTTGATGATTTGTCTCCGTGTATCTTATAATTTGTATGTGACAAAGACTTCGAAAATCATATGTTTGCAGTTTTTTCTTACTTTTCTGCAGCAGTTTGGCACTGTTGCAGATAGATGATAGAGAAATACTACTACCATACTATCTTTTACCAGACGTAATTAATGTAAGTATGAACACTCAAAATTGGATCAGGAAATCGGATAGGAAATGAAAAATTATTGTAATCTGTACATGTTTGTAATTCCTTTATTTCAAGTATATTTCTGTATCAACACCATCTCAGTTTATTACCAATAAAAGAAAAGCAAACAAAGCAATTATACAACTATCTAGAGACTTATCAACACAAAACAAATTTCAAAATAAACAGTGCAACACGAATAAAACTGCACTTTAGCTTGCAATCTGAATGGAATAATGATAATATTTGATAATGTAATATAAATGTTGTATTTTTAATCTTGCACTTAACTTTTATATGTAAGAAAAAGACATCATGCTTGGTGCTAGGTTTGGTAGAAAAGAAACAACGATAAAACCATTAAGTTTTATTCTGATGATTACCAAAGAAATTGTGGATATGGAAACATAGCAATTCTGCCAAATTTGAAATTGAAAGTCATGGTGACAAAGAATAACGAAAGACACTCACGTAAAGCAACGTCTATTATAAATTCAAAATTAGATATAGTAGAGCCAAATAAATCTGTAACATAAAGCTGTTACGCCCCTTTCATATAACACGCGTCAATGATCTTATGAGACTAAATTGTTGAAATAGAGGAGGCGACTGGGAAAAACTCAAATGCTTCAAGCTGGTTGGAGATTTGTACTTACGCCAAAATTTAAAACTTAAAATTACAATTTCCTGTGTTCAATCATTTTCAGAGAACATCAAATACCAATTTATATGCTTGACCATGTCACTTCTCGAATGAGGTTACGACAAACCTCGTTTCTACGATTAAAATAGCAAAAATGATACAAAAGTAACAACTGGTTAAACTGCATCATACATCGTATCTGTTCGGGATAACTTGATATAATTTGTTACACATGTTTCTATCGCGGTAGTATGTCACCTGTCAGCTTGACGCAACAACATACGTCAGTTTAGAATAATTAAATCACAGTTTACTAAGGTTGTATGCATTTTAACATATTTACTGATGAATGAGAGTTGTGCGATTAAATGGCCAGCATTCCATATGTTATAAAGTGCATAAACGTTTATCAAATACATGTAGAAACATTCTCCTTGTTACGTAATACTGTTATACGATATTCTTGATGGCAGTGTAGTGTTACAGAAGGAAAAAGAAAAGACATGTTGACAGAATCTGAATCCAAATTAAAATTCAATGAAATTTGGGCGAAATATCAAAAAGTAAAATTTAACTCCTAAAACGTATAAGACGAATAAAACCCGAAGAGTAAGCATCTAGTTAACACCATAGGTTGATGATCAAGAAGTATTACTGGTTTTTTTTTTTTTTTTTTTGGTTTTTTAGGTTTTTTTTAATGTTTCTTTTTTTTTAATTTTTTGTTTATTTGTTTGTTTGTTTTGTTTTGTTTTTGGTTTTTTTTTTGTAAAAGTAATCAGATGAAATCAAAGTTTCATGTAAAAAGAAAGAACAGGAAAAAAGAATTTTTTTAAAAAGTGAACGAAAATGATATCATGTTATTAAAGATTAAGTTATACAGAAGGCAATGTAATAGACGGCCATTGGAGCAAATCAGGACTTAAATGAAGTGATTTAAAACAAAGTGTAGAAGTACATTCTAAGGGGGATGTTCCTTTAAATACATTTGTAATATCACAATAATTAAATCTTTATCACTACAATATATTTCATGAAAATCGTGCTTGAATAAAATAGATGGGATTGGAAGGCTGGAAAATTTGTTTCTTACCCGTAATAAAATAAAGCGGAGGATTTCCGCTTGTTTAGCTGTCGAGTCCTTGTACGACGAAACACCTTATGACGCGATATGATTCATTATTTGTCTCTAGAATATATAATTTGTAAATTGTGTTAAAAAGATGCACTTTACTTGTTTCTGTCTAAAGAACGGGCAAAAATAAAAGTAATTCCTATTTTTAAGGATTTCGGTAAAAATACATATCGCAAAACGATGTATACAATTTCAAGAACATTCATATTTCATATTTTAACAGCATCGAACTTAAAGCCATTGTCTCGGGTCTGTGAAACACACACCAATATTGTTAGTCATAAGTTATCAGATGCTCCGACAAGACCATCCAAGTGTATTAGACGATCAGGCAGGAGAAAAATACACGAAACAAAAGTTTTATGTCTATTTAACAAAATTAATGACGACTATATTCTGAAGATATAGTCAAAAAGATTTGACTAGGGTCGTTGTGTAATTTTTTACATCTGACGTGTCATCTAGGACAAATTATCCACCCTTCTCAATACTTGTACGTAAATGTTAGCGGAACGCAATTACAAGTAGCTTAAATCGACATAGCACCGCTTTGCACGATGACATGGGACTGTATAACAATGGGTGTGGAATTTAAATAGTTTCAAGGCTCGATTGTTGTATATAAAGGATTTGTTCTGTGCATTTGTTAACTTCACAGAGATCGTATGGGATCAAAATAAGTCGGTTTCACCAGGAAAGCTTAAATGGCGAATTTCATCACCATAAGTTTTCAATATCTAATGCATTCTATGGACATATAGTTAGTGTGCATCTCTTACATTCTCTGCTATTTGGAGAAAAGCGGTCACTTGATTCAGTTAAGCGCAACCGTGGTGTAAACACGATATCTCAAGCGAAATGATATGAGCCAATGAAAGAGTGAGCGCTTTTCTAGTCCACAGCAAGGAGCCTTATACAGGATGTCATTTCATTATGATATGCATCTGATTTTGGAGCGATTTAGAAAGCAACACACCCTTATTTTCAATGAATTACTTACACTAATTTGAATAACTGAAGAACACTCAAAATAGTATATTAAACATTTGTTTACATTTCGTAATTATAATAATAATACTTTGCTGATAAGTTGTAGAGCAATCTGTGTTTTTTTTTTTTTTTTTTTATCAAAAACACACATCCCTATTTCTGAAATTTAAAACAAAGACCATTTAACACGTGCTAATAGGTCTAAGCACTCTCCCAACGTCAGTTTGTAAGTTTCAGGTTATGTTCGTATGTAAATGTGCTTTTGAAAATTGTGTGTCTTTTGTATCACTAGATTATAATTAAAATATTTAAAATGAAGCCCAACGCCTTATTTTCATTGCACAAAAAAAATGTTTGATTAAAGAAAAAAAAATAGCGAAACTCTTTCTCACTTGCTGCTAAATCTACTTTTTTTATGTCTAGACGGGTGTTCCCTAAAGAAATCCTGGTTTAAAGGTGCGGTGTCACGGTTGATGGCCATGAGTGTAATCTGATACCTAGATTTCTCTTATACAACTGACTGAACAATTTACGATGATCCACCCTGGCCTACAGCTACACGTTTGTTTTATATGTTATGATGGCAGTATACGCAACGC